AGCGAAGCATAATCATCATTGAAAGTTTTTCGTCGGAATACATAGGTATAGGATGGGCAAATTAAGGTCCTTCTGGCATTTTAAAAAACAAATAATTCGTGAAAAAAATGAAAAGCATTAATTTAAGGTGGACTGTTGAATGTTTTCCTCTTCTTTTCTTTAAATGAGGAATATATAGTTTGGAATGTACAATTACCTTAAAAACGTAAAGGTAAAAAATCAGTTAGAAAACTAGAAGACAAAATAAGTTAAAAGATAAAATGAGGTAAGTTTACATTACTTTCAAAGGCAACAAGGTATTAATCGTCAAAATATGAATCATTCCTATAATACAGCTTTTAAAACTTTGGCATTCCTTGTAATGATTATATATTATAAATTCGTAATTGAAATCATACAAAGTTCTCAGCATACAAAAATCTAGAAATATGACACTTGTTAAAATTATTCAAAACAAAAAATATTTTGTTTTTTTCGCCCCTTAAGGCTCAAAATTCTAATTTAAAAAAGTGCAAAATTACACATTAATATAACACACCATATAAAAAGAAATTTTTTTCATAAAATTTCTAATATCTAGATAAAAAGGCATTTTAAAACACATTTTTAATATCCTTCAAATACTATCGACGAACAAATAAATAAATAATAAAACACTCTTCTAGAAACACAAACTCCATTTAGCATACAATATCAATGGAACGCATAAAACACAGTTTTAAAACTATTGTTTACAAATGTCACTGCAAGCAAGCATAAAAAGTTATTTATTAAAGGAAAAGACATACATATTAAATAACCATTTTGTTTTTTACAAGAGCAATATATACAAATTTATAACAAAATAATTAACACACATTTACATTAATTCTTAGATGCATTTAATAATGAATAACGTAACACTATATCCTGAAGTATTTGCTCAAAGGCTCAATGTTTAATTATAATACAAAATAATACAATATCATATTGAGTTACAAATATACATACCATCTAAATGGATATATATGAAAAAAGCAATATTTATATCAGTTCCTGAAACCTTGAAAAATGTTAATTTAAAGTTCGTTTCAAATTACCTGTTTTCATTATAATTTAAAACCTGTATGTAATTTCAATTAGAAGTTTTGTTATATAATTAATTTCCATTTGTTTTGTTATGTAATCATTATATTTGTTTTGTTATATAATAATTACATTTGTTTTGTTATATAATAATTCACGAGGCTAATGTTTGTTATTAGCTTTTACTTTATTAATAAGAAAGTGAAATTAAATTTCACTTTTCACGGATTCATATATAGATCGACTGCCTCATCCGTGACCATGAGCGCAAACACGCATGCGCCATTCGGACCGAATTATTCTCAAAATAGGGTGGAAGGATGGGGACTTTCTTTCCCTCCAGCATAGCTCTTTCCGGAGAAGAGAAGACCTTTCACGTCGCAGCAAATAATACCGCCCCTTTTAGACGAGTTTATGTGTTTTGGCAGAATGCCAACCAGAGTGGCGCTTCAGACGGTCGAACTATAATAACGCCCCTTTTGAACGAGTGTATGTGTTTTGGCAGAATGGCAGCCAAAGTTGTGATTGAAATAGTCGAATTATACTTGTTTCTGAATCACAGCAGATGAGAAATTCAGTGGCACTCTGCCAAAATATTTAGACATGCCTAGTGCGGGCGTTACCGATAAATTCTGAAAGGCTCAAAAGTTTCCTTATTTTTCAAAAATCTAAAGTAAGATTTTGCTATATTTTAGCATACAAAATTTACGACTTCTAGTATTCTTTACTTCTTGATACTTATTATGTATAAAAGGCCGAAAAGTTTCGTTATATTTTCAAAACCTCAAATTAAAGTTTCGTTATATTTTAGCATGCAAAACATTTATTTAATTTACGACTTCTTTTATTCTGACTCAATGTCATTTCTAAAATGACATGCTGTAGATTTTGAGCGTCAAATAAAGTCTAAATATAAAATTTTGTTAAATATGGTATTTATGTTATGAAACTGTTTTTTAAAAGTACCATTCAAAATTCTCTAACTTCCTAGTATATTTTTCTTAAAGTAACGGAAATATCGTGATTAAAATATATAATAATTAAAAAATATTTAAAATTCAGACTGTTTAGCACATTTTTCTCAAAATAACTGAAATATTATATATTATAAACTATGGTACGATTTTTACAAAACTGAGGAAAAAAACCAGCATATCATTTTACAGAAGAATCAATCAAATAAAATGGTTCGCATTATGCTTTTAGTTGTTACCTTTTGGAAGAGATCTACGCATGAAATGCTAGACCCAGCCAAGTGGCAAAATGGTGAATCGTACGGTATTCCAAATTTTGAGTTTATAAAATGTAACACAAAGATTTGTAATAACAACGGCAAAATTCTCAGACAACAGATTTTGAATGTAATGAAGATAGATTCATACATTGGTGAAATCTCTTGAGTATTCTGAAGTAAATATAATTTGTCTTCCTGCCCGCTGGTCGAATTGTTTGTTTTGCGTAGAAACTCTAATTTCAATTGTAAAATTTTTTAAACCTGTTTTAACAATATTTGGTATTTTATGTTTTTCTGTATTTTACAATTTTTAATGAAGATGTTTTCAGTATTTATATATCTTTGCTTTGCCGTGAAGTGAGAATTGAATTAATTGAATGAGAAATACATCTCTTATAGAATTCGAGGAAATAAGTTTAAATGAAATGCAGCAAAAATTGTCTACAATTTAATACACCATACAAGGAAGACATGTGGGGTAAACATCATATTTTTTTAATATTAAGTTCTTTACTATCAGTTCTCTTTTCCACTTCCCGCCCACCAGCGGCCGAGCGGTAAAGTCGTTGAACACTGGTAGTTCGGTCCGAGGTTCGAATCCCGCGAACGGGCTGGCTGCATGGGTGTTTTCGTGGTTTTCCCCATGTGTAACGTGTATACGAGCCAGTTTCCCTTAGAAAGTCCTCCATGAAAGGCATCCCTCCCCTTAGGCAGATAGCCCTAGTGTGCTTTGCCGTAATTAAAATACACATACACATATACACACTTTTCCACTTCCCTACTAGAATGCAAATTTAGTTTGAGAAGTTTTTAGATTATAAGACAGAGCGTGTTTCTGCTTCTTGATGCTAAGTTACTAGATTTCGCTAGCTCAAATAAGATCTTTGCCTTCTAATTTCAGACATTTAAATTGTTATGCCTGTGAAAAATCTGAACCAACTTCCCGTTAAGTCAATTGCGTAGTCTTTGGCTACTAATCTTAATTTTAAATCTTGAATTGGATTGTTGTTTTAAGTTGCATCGCCCCATGTTGTAGTGGCTTATATAAGTACCAGAAGTGACTTTGTGTTAAAGTTCTGATTAAATAAAACTGTTTTTTTCTTTCGCTGTTTCCCTATGCATAATTTACGTGTGATCAGACCGTAAGTTTTCTAGATAATTTTCTTTTTTCTCTCTTCACCCCCAAACTTTGTAATTTCTAGATAAAATGTTGTTTATAATCAATAAATCTGTCCGAAAATTCCCCATCCGAAGAATATATAGTAAAAATGCATTTATCTTTATTTAACAAGGTTTAATTAGATCAAAAAATTAAAATTCAGTTTTCTTTATCTTTCATTTACATTGCTTTAAATTTTTCGAACCCTTACAAACTCTCAAGAGATTTACATAAAAGTTTTTGAAATTTTTTTGACTTCATTGCTAACAATGCAGGTTAAAAAATTAACTAATTAGATTTCAATCCAATGTATTTTTTAAACATATTAATAAGCTTTAAAAGCTATATATAGGTTTCTTTATAGGAAAAAATAATGAATTTCAACACTTTATTATTTGAGCAAATTAAATTAATTTTTTAAAATATAAAAATTAAGAGCAACATGTTGGAATATCAAAACATCAACATAAATACATACCAAACCAATGATCTATCTCGGTATCACATCATTGTGATGATCATAATACATTTACAATATAGCAATACATTAAAGTGACATCATCATTAAGATCGTAACAATTTATAAAATTAAACGAATATTTAAAATAAATTTTCATTATCGTCTTAATATTTGAAATAATTTATAAAATTATTAAAGTTCTGTTAAAAATGATGTCAAATTATTTAAGGTTTCAAAATGTGATTTAACTTAAACTCCGAAAATATATATCGCCACTGAAAAGGTGAAAATTTATGTTTAAAATCAATTCTACTTAAACGATAAAATAAAGGATACTGTATTAAGCCGCATCGAACGTTAAAGCCAAGTATAGAACATTAAATAAAGGGGGAGGAAAAAAAAACTTTCGTCGAAAACTGCAAATAAAATACGAAATCTCTGAATTTAACGCTATTGCCAATCCATTAATTCACGGAAGAAAAAAATTTAAAAGCTCTTGTTCTATTCAGAGGTAATAAAGTTCCATCCGTTGTTTTTTCCCTCCATTTATTCTTTCCGAATGGCAACACGCGCCGAAAAAGTTTCCTACCAATAAAACAGCGTTGCAGCAGTCAGAAATCGTTAAAATGTGACAATAGTTTGAGGTTTAATGTGTCGAAAAAAGCCCGAGGTGGAAATTGAGAATTTCGAACCAATAAAAAAGGAATAATGGACGGGAGATACGCATATATATATATATATAGTTAGGTAAAACCTGCATGATTTAAAATACAACAAATTTCTAGCAATTAACAACTAAATTCATACATAATATATAACTTCAGCATTTGAAATTTGGATTTACGTATCTTAACAGAAACATTTTGTTCAAAAATTTAAAAATAAATAAAACATGTATACATATATAAATGTGATAAGTCAAAAAGTATAGAAATAATATTGCTTATTTTCACAAAAACAATTTTAGTAAGTGTTGCACCAATGTAAAACTTAGAAAATATAGTATCAAGTATTATAATGAAAATTAAAAAAAAAAAAAAAAAAAAAAAATCACAAACAGGAAATAATTGAGATCAGTCTTGTTCCTTGACTATATATTTATTTTTTTAAAGGACAATAAAATTACAAAACTCAAATTCTATTCGAATTTTCCTTAATAAATGCAGTTGCATGAACCGTTAATTGCAGTTTACTTAAGAAATGCGGTTTTACCACCACTTCACAACTTATTCACCACTTCCAGTTGAAAAATTATGTACTTAGTATTTGAGTTCCAGTTGATCATTTAAAATGAAAAATTTTGAACTCTAATAAATACGTTACTATTTTCAAACGTCACTATTTTCTTTAATTTAAATGACACTATGAAGTTCTAAAAAAATTAATTTCAGACTTTTCTTTTGAAAGGAAACTATTATTGAAGTATTAGATTCAGAAACTAAAATAATAAAAAAAATATTACTATCTTTCTAGCTTCATAACATTCCCTCCTTTTTAAAATTATTAATTATTTCAAATAGGCATTAGTTTTAAATCTTGGATAAAAATAATTGTTCAGATCAGTTGTAAAGACAGATAACTTTTTTGATAATCCAGTTCATGTTTAATATCATTTATGCTATCAAAAATACATTTGATACCAGGATCTTTCACACTGTATGACTTACACCAGACATTAATATTGTAACCGCTGAAACAAAATTAAATACATTACTGCTTATTAACATTTGTTTAATAAATGCAACAGACATAACTCTCAGACAAATAGAATTGGAAAGTTTATCACAATACATGCAAATGAAAGTTTTCAGCCATTTTTAATAGTTATATTTCATAGGCCACTATCAGAACTATCAGTAAACTCCTTTACATAAAAAGAAAGGCAGTAATTTTAAGGTAATATACCGTCAGATAAAATTCATATAAACTGTTTTTTATATTACAACAAATATACTATAAAAATCAATTTAATTTTTAAATTATCAGTAAACAAAATATCTAACGCTTTTAAACAAATGGAAAGTGAAAGTTCACAAACCAAAGTAAATAATTTCAGGAAATCACCATCTTTCCAAAAGCTGTTGGCTAAAGCTTCATTGCCAATTGAATCAATACCACCAGCGCTGGAAAGTAAGTGGAAGAGCCCAAACAAAGTCTCAGTTAAAGCTCTAAGAATAATCAGTCAGGAGAAGAAAAATCCATCCATTCATTTGTAAAGACTGCAGCCTTTCGAGGCCAGCGGCCTGAGAAACGTCTCTGGCAAAATAGACAATCAGGCGGAAATAGCAGCCCAAGACAGACGCATGTGAGTGGATGACACTAGCAAAAGTTCTGTGGGCATGTTCTTGATTCACACTTATGAAGTCAACAACCAGACCGACGCAGCTACCCAAAAACAGACGCATGCAAGTGAGTGACAGAGATAAAGAGTTCACGGGCGCATTCCTGATATATTTCTTTCGGCCGACTTCATAGTCAGAATCGTGGGCTCCTGAAGAAGCTGAGAGAAGATGTTACTCTCACTCACTGAGCTCCGAATGTAGCCATTTCTTTCTTAAATATCACCACAATGGCCTTCACTAGCTGCCAGCTATTTCCATGCGACGGTACTTCTTCCTGAGGTTCGAAACGGGATCCTTGAACAGAACAGGATCCAGCCTGGTATTAGAGCGTACTAAAGGCATGTAGCCGAAGATCTTGGCAAAGGCGTTCATACAGGTCTGTCTCTGGACGAAGTGATCCGGATCATTCCAGGGAGAAGGGTAACTACGGCCGCCCCCTGCTAGCATGGTCTCCTTATATTGCTTACGCTGAGTAACTTTAATAGGGGGCAGCCGAGTTACATGACTGACTAGGAAGTTGAGCAGGATGTCCTCGCAATTCTGAGACTGGTCCACGATCTTGTGGAGCAAGTGGCTTAAGTAGTGAGTGTATAAGAAATGATAGTACCTAGAAAAGTAAAATATTGTCAGATTTCAAAAAATAAAAAAACTCAGTAGAGAAAATAATTAATGAAGCAGACCCGTTATACAATTCCATAAAAGAAACAATTTGGCTTTTACATTTTATGATTTTTATATAACCAATTTCGTGCTTAAATATAACATTTGTGGTACGGGAAAAGAATATGCTTTAGCATATTCCAAAACAGCGTTTGCAGATTCAGTCCCAGAAAGCTGATTTAAAGCTACCGCTACGGAATCATAGATTCCATCTTTTAAATCGGATATCGCCTTCACTAAATTATAATTTAATTGTCAGCTTCAGGAAAAGGGAAAAAAAATTAAAAAACTGAAAGATAGTTTTTTTTTTCCTCATTCTTGAATATATTTTGATTTTGATAACGTGCATTGAGTTAACAGACAAAATTAAATTCCTTTGAAGTTTAAATGATTAAATCATTTTCATGAGAACGGTCACGATAAAAAAAAATCCGAGCTTTGTTCCCGCCTTCAAATCTACTCGTAAATGCATAATGACTGATTTACTTTGGCAAAATCCATCAATTTTCTTACCTCATTTTAACTAATCAAAAACTTTTTATCTCGTTTAAATTTTTTCCATATTCCCGCCCCGTTAATTAATTTAAATATTGAACCATGTGTTTGTAAATTATTTCACAGTTATTAGACAGATATAAAAATGCGGAATACTATCACTTTACCAGATAACTAAAAGCGTATCGTTTAGTAGTGCCATTGATTTTGAGAAGCAAAAGCTTTAAAGAGCCTAAGGAGTTGCCGTGAAACTGAGCAAAGTAACTTCGCGGTAACTACTGTCCCTTAGCAGTTCGTGATAACGGTGTATATTGAAAGTAGTATTGGTTACATTGCATTGGTCGACAACTTCACGATGATTCATCAATGTTATTCATGTAACTTAAGTAACAGTAATAAATTTCATAGATGATACTCTACTAAAACATAACCTCACAATACAAAAATCTAACACTGGATTTTCCCATGGGGGGGACATGCCAAGATATTTTATTACAATCGTAGCTTTCTGAATGTTTCTATGATATAAAGGGAAAAGCTCTTTTTCTCGTGCATGTGCCTAATCGTCTTACATATTTGAAAACGTTGCAGTGTACTTTTATAATACTTCTGCAGTTTGTCCCCGGGCCCTACAAGGATGTCTTTGCAGCTATGTTGCAAAAGAATGCAAAATGCATTATCAGCTGAAAATACAGAGTACTAGAGGCTAAAGCTTCGAACAGAAATTCGTGGATTTTTCTCTTCCCTACAATTCGCATTTTAAGAATTTCTTTTAAAGATACCTTTTGTTTTTGCCTTTCCTCCTGACTTTTTCAGCCTTTGCCTTTGAAATTATGCATATTTTATGTTTTCGACTTTTTGTGCATTCTACCTGTCCTTTGTTATAGCTCGTGTTCATATTGTGCGGAGTCTTCATAAATACGAGTAAATATGCTTAGTATCTCGAAAATGTTTCATTTTGAACTCTGTTACATTTTATTTTAGTTTAAAATTAAAAAAATGTAACACTTTACCACTAACATTATTTTTTAAAACATTATTTCTTCTAAAAAATCAAATCTTCAACGCTGAAATAAAATTAAATAAATCTGCTACCGAGATAAAAGAATTATATAAACTGCTTTAGAAAAGTCTTTTAATGCTACCTCAAGAACCGATAAATATTCATTTAATAAATTAACTTTCAGATAGAATAAATATTGTATATCTATCTAAATAACCGTGAGATCATCTCATAGAATAAGATTAATTATAAGTAATATAGTTATAAGTAGTAACTTCCCTCACAATTCCTGAGCCAGACACATGGTAAACTAATACAATACAGAAAAATTTAAAGCGCAGCGGATCTAAAATGTCACATATTACAAAGCGACCAAAAATGCTTTCGTCACACAGTGCATGGAACTTTACATTAGCTTTCGAAGTAATCCCAATTAGCATCCCATACTTTTTGCCAAAGTTCCTGCAGCTGTACAATGCCTTGGCGGCAAAACCCAAAAATCTGAGAAGCAAAGTCCGTTATGTCTGCCTCAGTGTTGAAGGATGTATCAAGGAGGTGGTTTTTCAAAGAACGGAACAAGTTATAATTTATGTGCACTAGATACGGTGAGCACAGTACCACCCAGCTAAGTCGCTGAATGGGTATCCTTTTTCGTGTTTCTCAAGTATGGTATCGCATCATCATCAAGGCACAGCACACACTGCAAGTTGCCAACACTGACTTCTTCTGTTGCAAAGTACATTACACCCACTGCAAATGTTGTGATTACAGGTCCTCAGTGCCATGTGGCCTGCAGTAATAGTTCGTAATGCACTACTTGGAACTAATCTATCAGACACCCAGTATCATCTTGCTTGGGTACAGACGTGGTCTTGAGGTGTGAGGCATAGCATGTGGTGAAAATTAATGCTTGGTACACTAGAGGATGTAATACTGGATCCCTCGTGATTGTCGACAATGGTGGAGTACCCCACTTGCAGAACTTGTACGCTTTTTCTATGCGATGTTGTTGAAATGTGATTGCTTTCTTGTAGACCTAGATGCGTTCAGCAAGTTCATTACACGTCCTCCACTATGGCTGCCTTCACGGTGTCGTTCATCCATCATCTATGGTAGTCCCCGGCGGGGATTATCCCAAAGTATTCGTCTTCCGTCTTGAATTTCAGGATACTGCAAATGCTGCATATCAGACTATTAACAAAACCGCAAAGAGCCACATCTCTTTGTATATCAGTATATAAACTCTTCCAAAAAAAGAATGAAGCACCTTAAAAAATAATCCGATGATCTCGAAATTTTGTTTGTAAATTCCTTCATACCAACAATGCAAATGGTTTAAGGTTGTTTAAAGGATACACAAATACATATTTATGTTTTAAATTAAGAATGGAAACAAACAATTTCAGTCTGAACATATAACGATTTCCGAAATGTTTCTTAAGCTTCATCACAACTTTAAATTATGTTACATTACTAGCTATTATTCATGTATTACCATACGAGATTCGATAGAATTTCGCCGTTTTGGCGCTACTATTTGGCCCAATTAAAAAAAAAAAAAATTAATTCCTTCCCCATTTCCTGTTCTAAATATTTTTTACAACAGAAACACCATTTAAATCGTAGATATAAAAACAGTTTTTAAAGGAACCAAATATTCTTCGACGCAGTGTTCCAAGTACGAATAGCAGATGTGATAGCGGTTTTAGGCAAAGCGTGATTTCGCTAGTGTAACGCAGGTTTGCTATTTTGTCCTCTAGCTGTTAACCTTAGTAGTGGCTACGCATTCTAGCCGTTTCAGTTAGTATATCGTCGGTTAAGTTGCTGATTCAACCTATTAGATTAAATTAAATGTGACTAGCACTGCTTTTGACCTTTTGAATTTATTGTTAGATTTATCTTCAAGTTCTCAACACAAGTAGTCGACACTTTTGTAAGAATGAAGTCCTATCTTTCTGTTAAAGAACTATGATAAATAAAAGGGGCTTTTTACACCCTTTCCCTGTTGTGTTACTCTTCACGCCTGTGAGAAGTCGCCAGGATGAACTTTGAGATCTAGACACGTTGAATACACGATCGATATAAACATTTGAATGGAAGATCATGACTCATTTTCATAACTGAGATCTCCTCCTCATGATACGTATTCCTTAAATGAAAAAATATAGGCATTACACATCTTGGTGGATTACTTAAGTCAGGATAACAATATGATTTTGGGGTATCTAATTTATTAATCAATTGTTTGTTACTGATTTCAAAAGGTGTACAGAATCAGCAAGTAATAATAATTCTGTCACAGTGTTTTCGGGAATGCTGGCATGAGTTAATATTTGTTTAACTTCAGAAAGATGTTCCTAGTTATCCTATTGTTACCAAAATTGTACCATCTTTTTTCCACAATGCCAGAAACATACGTCATACATACAGATTCTTCATTATTTAATTTTTTTTTTAAATAACATAGAACCATGATATTTGGTGGCAGCAATTTGAAAAGTCATACGCCGTTTATAGTGAACAACGCAAAATCCCATTTTGGGCTAAAGACTTTAAAATGATGATATTGTTGCGTTATTTTTTTTCTGACACCAGTTGTTACTTTATTTTCTTCCTTCACGTTCGTACGGGCTTCGTGTGGATTTGGAGTGAATAACAACGACACTACTTGATGAAGTATCGAAACACACTTTATTGGCCAGTATAGTCAGGACAGCTCCACGTTTACAGTCGTCGATGAACTACTATAAACACGCTGATACGATCAGCGACACAGCCTCCAGGCTATCACGGCTTCGCTGCAAAGCATCAGAGTACAGCTCCCGACTCTGCTCGGTCGTTCTCGAAACTCCACGTACTCTCGAGACTCTCCACGCTACAACACGCGATGCATTCGACGACACACAGAGCACAGCTCTCGACTCTTCGGTTCAGTCGTCCCCGGAGCTTAACACGCTCTCTCGACGATGCACTAACCGCGATATACGAAGAGACTCTTTTGGTGCACACGACGACCCACTCGGTACTCACTGGCCGGCTGTCAACTCGATCGACCCCGCACGGACTGACTAACTCGAGACTAACTTTCTCCCACTCTAGACGAGGCACTCTCTAACTCGTTCTCTCGACGAGACACATACTAATTGACCGCGGACCAGCAGGGTTTATATAGCTTTCGGCTTGTGTTCGAGAACATTCTGGGCTAAAGCGGTAAGAATTTGTGTTCCAGAAGGTTCTATATCCGCCCATGGTATATCGCCAATTTTGTCCCGAAATGGACGATTTATTGCCAAATGTGGCAACCCTGCCTTCCCTTGCCATTTCATGGCAACTCTAAAACTGCTTTGCGGGGAAGCCATCTTACCGCGCCTGTACATTTCGTAACAATATATATATATGTCCTTCATACTGATCAAACATATGGGAAAAGGACAATACATCACAGAGAA